GATAGATTCACTTAACAACCAGGTTACTAACATCAATTATAGCGATTCACAACATTAACAACTGTGGCAAGAATAGAGCAAAACTCACTTAACAAATGTATCACTTAAGAACAGAAATTTTGGGCTCAATTATGGTTGTAAGTTGAGGACTATCTGGACTTCACAGAAAAAATAGCTGAAGCTTGGAACCAACTTCCAGCACAGGTAGTGGACCGGTCATCAGTAACTGAGTTTAAACATGCTTGGGATAATTTTTTGTCATCCAACAAAAAATAAAATAAAATAAAAATAATAATGAATGAGAGGCCCACGGTGCTCTCTGAGCTTGGTTGTTTTCTTGCAGACGTGTCATTACCCAAACAAACTGATGACGTTACCTAGTTGGGTAATGAAACGTCTGCAAGAAAACAACCAAGCTCGAGAGAGTATCAAGAAACCCTTCATTTCAACACTGAGCTACAAATATTTTCCTTTATTAATAATAATTAAAAATAATAAATAAATCAATGAATTAAAAAGAAAACAAACAAAAAACCCTCAAGAGACCACTAGGTCTTTTTCTGCCATAAGTTTTCCATGTTTCTATGAAATAGGAAGGGGAAGGAACTATTTTAAAAAGAAATCATACTGGGTCTTGGAGTAGAGGAAAGGTAGCATCTTCAAGTTGAGTTTGACTTATAGTACACAGTTTTTTTGATGATTGTGTGGAAGTGACTTGCGGGTTGTTTTTCGGTTTTCCTGTGTGTAGCCTCCAGCCCTAGGAATATCTGGCAGTGTCCCATTGAAGTACCAACCAACCAGATCTGACCTTGTTTAGCTTTTTCAAGGTCAGGCAAGATTTCCCTCCCCTCCCCCAAAAGAATTATAGAATAGAATTCTTTATTGGCCAAGTGTGATTGGACACGCAAGGAATTTGTCTTGGTGCAAATGCTCTCGGTGTACATAAAAGAAAAGATACGTTTGTCAAGAATCATCAGGTACAACACTTAGTGATAGTCATAGGGTACAATAAGCAATCAAATCATACTAGGAAACAGTCCTTATAAATCGTAAGGATACAAGCAACAAAGTTACATTCATACAGTCACACGTGGGAGGAGATGGGTGATAAAGAGTGATGAGAAGATTAATAGTAATAGTAGTGCAGATTTTGTACATAGTTGGACAGTGTTGAGGGAATTATTTGTTTAGCAGAGTGATGGCATTCGGGGAAAAAACTGTTCTTGTGTCTAGTTGTTCTGGTGTGCAGTGCTCTATAGCGTCATTTTGAGGGTAGGAGTTGAAACAGTTTATGTCCAGGATGTGAGGGGTCTATAAATTATTGATTATATATTGAAATATTGGATACAGTGTGACCATCCTGGCATTGTCTCTGCCATACACACTTAAATATAAAACAAATAACGTTATACTCCTCATGCATTGCTAATTTATATTATTATTCTATCCAGTATGTACGTTTATATTTACAGCATAAAACCGTGTACCTTGCTAATTTTATACAGCCATTTTATCCACTATACTCTATTGTATTTACCTAGATAACATCAGACTTCAGTTCTACAAATCCTCGTTATTTCCTGATCAGGCAAGATTGAACTACATGCTCTGTTACCTTGCTGACCCTTTGGGGTAGAACTGACCCAAGGGTTCTAGAGGTTGAGAAGAAGACTGGTGGCTTATTCTTTGTTATCGACCTTGCAGAATAGAACAGCTGCTGTGGGGTTGTGATTTTCCTCCATCTGTTTAAGCAAAATGGCATTGATATGTTTTAAAGGAGAATATTTGTAGCTCAAGGTTGAAATGAGGGGTCCTTTGGTTGTCAGCGTTCCAGGCAATCTCCATTCCAATCAGCAACCCCGAGACAAGCATAATCTCAAAAGTACCTTTATTAGAATAGCACCTGGCACATCTGTGGAATTTCAAAACTAAAAGTTTCCCAGACTTCCCACATTGTCCCTACCTACAAACCATCCCCTTTTCATTCATCATCCCCTCACAGGAACCAATCCCAACGTAAGTTCCTTTTTGTTTCTGCGCCACACTCCATGACCTTGAACTAACAAAAGAATTCTATTTTGTCTACTTAGATCTACTCAATAAAAATCATCCCCCTCCCACTTTCTCAAGCTATGTGGCAGCGATGAATAAGGATTCCAAAGCTGACACGAGTGCTCTCTGAATTTGGTTGTTTTCTTGCAGATGTTTCATTACCTTTAACTAGGTAACGTCATCGGGGCTAGTCCTGATGGGTCATGAAATGTCAGCAAGAAAACAACCAAGCTCAGAGAACAGCAAGGACCCCCGCACTGATATATTTGTTCTGAAAAATATTTTCCTGAATTTTTCATCTTTTTAACAATTCTGAATATCTTTAGAGTAGAGTAGAGTAGAGTAGAGTAGAGTAGAGTAGAGTAGAGTAGAATAGAATAGAATAGAATAGAATAGAATAGAAGTGTTGGAAGGGACCTTGGAGGTCGTCTAGTCCAACCCCCTGCCTAGGCAGGAAACCCTACACCACTTCAGACAAATGGTTGTCCAATCTCTTCTTAAAAGCTTCCAGTGTTGGTGCATTCACAGCTTCTGCAGGGCAAGTTGTTCCACTGATTAATTATTCTAACTGTCAGGAAATTCCTCCTTAGTTCTAAGTTGCTTCTCTCCTTGGTTAGTTTCCACCCATTGCTTCCTATGCTGCCTTCTGGTGCTTTGAAGAATAGCTTGACTCCCTCTTCTTTGTGGCAGACCCTGAGATATTGGAAGACTGCTATCATGTCTCCCTAGTCCTTCTTTTCATCAGATTAGACATATCCAGTTCCTGCAATCGTTCTTCATGTTTTAGCCTCCAGTCCCCTAATTATCTTTGTTGCTCTTCTCTGCACTCTTTCTAGAGTCTTCACATCTTTTTTACACTGTGGCAGCAAAACCTGGATGCAATATCCAAGTGTGGCCTTACCAAGGCATTTTAAAGTGGTTTTAACACTTCACGTGATCTTGAATTAAGGTTTAAAAACAGGGAAAATGAAAATGAATCATTCAATTAAAAAAAAAAAGCTCATTTGAAAAAATTTGCAGAAAGGGCAACAGTACCATGAATTACAGCTTTCTCTGTGCAGCTTTTAGTTGTTGAAGAACTAACTAGACAGCATGAAAATGGCTCTCCCTGTTGCCAGACCTTTTCGTGCCTCTGTTATTTCTGTTCTCAGTCATTAGCAGTCACCTGACTTCCCTTCAAAATAATGATAGATGAAGCCTGGCCCATTTGATACACCTTGAGGCTGCCTGCGCGTAGTGTTGGAATAAGGAGAGAAATGCCACTTCAGCACCTATACCTGCTAATGGAGTCTTTGGGGTGCCTCTTTCATGAGTCAGTCAAAAGGTGAAGGCACAACCTCCAAAGGCAGAACAGTGATATTACAAACAGGGAGTGTTTGTGGCATGATTTAAGTGCAAGTAGGGACACAGCCAGACAAAAACAAGCCACAATGCCAATATCAAGGATCTGGGTAAACATATATGTCATTAGCAAGTACTGGAAACTCCTGAGGCTCAGGGCCAGCCACAAATAAACGAACAGGGAGTTCCATAACCCAGGCACTAATATGAGGAATGGCTGTTCTGGATTCTTATTTGGTGAATCATGAGGCAATGTGACAGTCTCAAGAACATTTCCACCAGGATTGGGGATGATATGATAGCAGTGTTCCAACCAGGGGTGGGATTCAAAAATTTTAACAACCGGTTCTGTGGTCGTGGGTTAGGTGGTGGGCATGGCTTGATGGTCAGGTGACTGGGTGGACGTGGCTTGGTGGTCATGTTATTGGCTGGGCATGGCCAACTCAATATCACATTGAGGCACGCATCTCCTCGCCTGCCTCTCATGACTGTGGGGATGCTGCAACAGTCGTAAGTGTGAAAAAATGGTCATAAGTCGCTTTTTTCAGTGCCATTGTAACTTTGAATGGTCCCTCCACACAAGCAAAGTACCAGCAAAGGAGGGGGGAAAAAACTCCAGAGAAGTTGCTGAGACAGGAAGTCTAGTCCTGCCAAGAATGTAATAAGGGTTAATGGAGAGGCAGTTTCTGTAAGCAACACCAGAATGTTTCCTTCCTGCCTTCCTTACAGGATTAGGCCAGTAATTTCTTCTAACAACCGGTTCTCCGAACTGCTTAGAATGTTAACAACCGGTTCTAGCGAATAGGTGAGAACTGGAAGAATCCCACCCCTGGTTCCAACATCTAAAAGGGGCTGCTACAAAGAAGAGGGAGTCAACATATTCTCCAACACACCTGAAGGCAGGACTTGAAGCAATGGTTGGAAACTAAGGAAGGAGAGAAGCAACCTAGAACTAAGGAGAAATTTTCTGACAGTAAGAACGATCAACCAGGCTTGCCTCCAGAAGTTGTGGCTGCCCCAACACGAGGCTTTTAAGAAAATACTGGAGACTTATTTGTCAAAAATAATATAGGGTTTCCTGCTTCAGCAGGGGATTGGATTAGAAGAGCTCCGGGATCCCTGCCAACTCTGTTATTCTGTTATTTATAAATTATTATATACGTCTATTGCTACATTAATATCATTTACATTATAAAACAGTTCCAATCCATTACTTTTTGTATGTTTTGTGCATTAAATATTAATCTAGCTTCAATTCTTACTTATTTTTAATCCACAGCACACTCCCATAGATACAGTATTACATTTTGTGCATTCTGTATAACCTGTGTCAGTTCTTAGCAACCTCACTGATTCCTTGTTTATTTTGTCATTCCCGATAAATAGAAGCAGACATTCTAATATTTTCCCCCACATCCCAGTGGGTCATCTTGTGCACCCCTGGTAAGTGCGTACCCCACTTTGCAGACAGAGTGTCCTGTTAGAACAGGGGGTTGGACTAAAAGACCTCCAAGGTCCCTTCCAACTCTGTTATTCTGTCTTTGCGGACGGTCAAGTACCTCCAAGGAATATGTTACTGTATTAAAATGTCGTTCTCCTCCATCTAGATGTTGAGTCCCCTCCAGAAGTGCGGCTCGGAAGGCTGCCTGCTAGATTGTGACTTCCTGCCATGGCACCGGAGCACCCTTCGGAAGCAACACCAGAGGTGCGAGGATCCGGAGCAGAGGAACGTCTGTGGAAAGCAGGAGAAACCTTCCACCCCAAGCATTCGTTTAGACGACACCGAAGTGGTCAATTGTCTTCAACTCCCACTCCAAGACCCGGGAGGGTTCTGGCGGTCTCGAAGTGAGGGACGTTTGGATCAACAAGGGGCACCATGCCAAAGGGGAACTGAGGAAGGGGACAAAACAGGAAGTGGGTGGAGCTTGCCGTCCCCCAAATCTTTGAGGAAGGAGCGGCAGCTGTGCGAGAAAGTGGCGGCAGCAAAGCAACACCTGAGGAATTTCTTTGGAGGATCAAACAAGGTCAGTGGAACTTCTTAATGCTTTCTTACTAACCCTCTTACTAATGGTCTGTAGAGATTCTCAGTCATCCAGGACATGGTTGTCCCAAAGGTGCTTTTTTCAGGAGGCAACTGGACTTCCTTGTTTCTTCTTTGAAGACGTTTCGCTTCTCATCCAAGAAGCTTCTTCAGCTCTGACTGGATGGTGGGGAATGGAAGGATTTATACTCCTTGCAGACAGCTGGCTCTTTGCGTTCTTTGTAGAGAGTCGCTGAGGCCACTTGGAGGTTGATCTGTGTCCTCAATGTCATCCAAGTAGTGCTCCTGGTTCCTGTAGTCTGCATTTTTTCCCCTCTGGAAATCTGTTCCTACTCCCACCCCATTCAAAGGGTGTCCATCCCAAATTGTATAGCTAAAAGTCTGTAGATATTCTCAGTCATCCAGCCAGGGTTGTCCCAAAGGTGCTTTTTCAGGAAGGCAACTGGTCTTCCTTGTTTTTTCTCTTTGAAGATGTTTCACTTCTCAGCCAAGAAGCTTCTTCAGCTCTGACAGGACGACCAGCTGTCTGCAAGGAATATAAATCCATCCATTCCCCACCATCCTGTCAGAACTGAAGAAGCTTCTTGGATGAGAAGCGAAACGTCTTCAAAGAAGAGACAAGAAAGTCCAGTTGCCTCCTGGAAAAAGCACCTTTGGGACATCTTACTAATGTTTTCTTTCTCATCTTCCACTTCCCAAAAATGCAAGGCCGGATCTTTTTTAAAAAAATTTGCCTATCCATTTTTAATTTTTTTTTTAGTTTGCTTGTCTAAACATCCAAGTGTCTTTATTCCCACTGGTTTTAATCTCTGGAATTTGCTGCTGTGAAAAATGTATCCGGTTAAGATTAAATAGCTCATAATTAATGATCAAGGAAAGGTTATGGTGAAGGGCCTGGGATACAGAGCTCTTGGGGTTTTCCCTGCAGAGGCTAGTGAATTACTCAGAGGGACCGGGAAGTTTTATATATAAATTATATATAAATATATATAAATATAAAATATATATTTTATATAAATACTCTTGCCATTTTCCAGCCTCCCTTCCCCCACCTGATTTTGTTTCAGAACAATGTTTTAGTTGTTGTTATTGTTGTTGTTTTAAAAAATAAAAATAAACAAGAAGCCAACATGCTGCAGAACAAAGGATTCCTCTCCAGCAGCATCTTCATCAGCCAAAATGACCGTGTCCTTTCAAGGATTCATAGCAAAGAAAATTTGTGGCATGGGTGTCGGTCAAGGAGAACATTTTATAGCTCAGTTCTGTGGAGATTCTCAATCATCCAAGTCGTAGTTAAACAGATTAAACAGATCAACAGATAATCAGAGTTGGAAGGGACCTTGTAGGTCATCTAGTCCAACCCCCCGCCCAAGCAGGAGACTCTACACCATTTCTGACAAATGCCAGTCCAATCTCTTCTTGAAAGCCTCAAGTGAAAGTCTCACCTTGTCCCAAAGGTGCTTTTTTTTTTTTTTTTTTCAAGAGGCAACTGGACTTTCTGGCTCTTGAGCTGAAGAAGCTTCTTGGATGAGAAGCAAAACGTCTTCAATGGAAACAAAAACCAGAAAGTCCAGTTGCCTCTTTGAAAAAAAAAAAAAAAACACCTTTGGGATTTATAGCTCAGGATTGAAATGTGGGCGCTCCCTGAATTTGGTTGTCTTCTTACTGACATTTCATTACCCAAATTAGGTAACGTCTGCATTCCCATTTGCATGCCTTTGTTTGATGCTTGCATGTGCTACCAATAAAGGAGAATTCAGGGTTGAAAGGAGGGGTCCCGGGCTAGCACTGATGATGTTACCTAGTTGGGTAATGAAATGCCGGCAAGAAAACAACCAAGCTCAGGGAGCACCAAGGACCTAGAAAAGAGAGAAAGGTAATTGGAGGTTGCAGAGAGCACTCCTGAAGCCGTTGAGGGTGGCAATAAGCCATTTCACAGTGTACCTTCGGGCAACTGTGTCTTTTCGCGCCAGCCATATACACCACGCCACTGGCAATGAGTAGCAAAGCACCGTGTCTAACGGGTTGGTGAGATGCTCATGTCGTGCCACAATCCCAAAGGTATCCCCAAACAGGGTTTCTTTAGAGAGACAAGGTAGAAGATCTCAGTGGGAAGTAGCCACTGCGGGGAAGGGGATCCAAAAAGCCAAGATGGTAGTCACGATGCTTGTGATCGTAGCCCTGCCTTTATACCTGCGTGCAAAATTAACAGCAAAAGGGATGAGACTTCAGTTTTGCTTTCCTGAGGACACCTACCCCAGGAGATGCCAATGGAAAGAAAAAAAACATTGTCTAAAGGAAAAACAGGTGTGGTCCCAGAGCAAAGAAAGAAAGAAAAAAACAATTGGATTTCCACTTGCATCATTTCCTCTCATGCAGAGCTTTGAGCTTTCAGGTCCCAAATGAAAACCCTCTAAATGAAAAAGCCATCATTTACAAGCCGGAGTGTGTGTGTGTGTGTGTGTGTCATATAAGTGGTGGAGCCATTCTGCCCCTGGGACTCTATAGTTCTCTGCCCCATTTTATAGTAGCATCTGTTGTAGGGCTACAATGGCCAGTCCTTTGTGAAGCAATACAGTTCCTTTCGATCACTGTTGCTGACTCAAGCCAGTGCGTTGCCAGAGGTACGAAGTTCAAATTGTATTTTCCCATATAACTGCAAGAATAAAAGACGAGATGCTTCAATCTTACACAGAGTAGAACTAAGTCATTCATAACACAATTCATAGCTTAAATGAACCCACAGACCAAATTGGTTCCTTAACTAACTGATCAGTCTAAAGGAAAAGTTGTAGAGCCATTGTTCTATAAAGTAAGTTCCCAGCTGGATAATAAGAGTTGGAAAGAGACCTTGGAGGTCTTATAGTCCAACCCCCTACTCAGACAGGAGACCCAACACCACTTCAGACAAATGGTTATCCAACATCTTTTTAAAATCTTCCAGTGTTGGAGCATTCACAACTTCTGAAGGCAAATTGTTCCACTGATTGATTGTTCTGACTGTCAGGAAATTTCTCCTTAGGTTGCTTCTCTCCTTGATTAGTTTCCACCCATTGCTTCTTGGCCTGCCTTCAGGTGCTTTGGAAAATAAGTTGACCTCCATCCTCTTTATGGCAGCCTCTCAAATATTGAAACACTGCTATCTTTTTTTTTTTCTTAAATTGGCCTATGTGGGTCATAATTTCTTGCCAAAAGAAAAGCGTTGCAATATTGCTTTTAATTTTGAACTGCAAAATCCCGATCCAAGGTGGGATTCTTTGCAAGATTTAGAAAGCTGAGTTTCTCTAAAGAGTTTGGGAGAGCAGAAGAGTGCAGCGACTAACATTTCTGCTTGAATGGATTGGCACAAATTTCAATGCCCCTGTCATGCCCCTGGTGGAGACTGACTCTGAGGGAGAGGAGGAATAGCCGACAGGGAGTGGAAGTGTGGCTCCGGAGGTTGTGGAGGAGGCTGGGGATCATCCTACGGCACGCAGGGAGGAGAGGATAAGGGAGAGATGTGGTCTCCTCGGGAGGAGGGGGCCTTGATCCTCTTCATGGGCTGCAGGTGTGAGAACTGCATAAGAGTTTGGACCTGCATACTGGCAAACGCTGGAAACAAAGCGTGTTTTCTTTTGGTCTGAAGTTATCTTGGTTGGCGTTCTTCCAACAGACCGTGCCTTGTTATCTCCTTGAATTTGGTAAACACTTCTCCTGTTCCGTTGTGGAAATTTCATCATTGTAGTTTGTTTGGTTTTTTTTAATTTCACCTCTATCTGCTCATTAAATTCGGACTGTATTGCTTTCTTTGGAAGACGATTTTTGAGTACATTTTATCTGCAACTGAGTATTATTGAACAGAGGGGCCAAGTTGGAGGCATTAAAGGACGTTTATTTACGTTTTGGATTTTGTTACGTTTGTGGTACACTCTGGGTCATCCCACCCACTCCCAAGCAGGACTGAGATTGCTTGATTGCTGTGGTTTTCTGAAAATTAATGCCTTGTATGTCTATGAAGATGCTCAGTCAGTCATCCAGGTGATGATTGTCCCCAATGTGCTTTTTCAGGAGGCAGCTTGGACTTCCTTGGTTTTTTTGAAGTCGCTTCTCATCCAAGAAGCTTCTTCAGCTCTAACTGGATGGTGGGGAATGGAAGGATTTATACTCCTTACAGACAGCTGGTCATTTGCATTCTTTTTAGAGAGTCGTTGAGGCCACTTGGACATTTATCTACGTCCTGAGGGTCAACCGAGTAGTTCAAATGGGTGTAGAGCCTTCTTGGAATTGCTGAAAGGACTGCGTTGTTGACTGGAGATAGATGATGTCATATGCCTTCCTCTCTGTAAATCCTTCCATTCCCCACTATCATCCAGTCAGAGCTGAAACTTTTTGGATGAAAAGTGAAACGTCTCTGAAGAAAAACAAGAACGTCCGGTTGCTTCTGGAATAAGTACCTTTGGGACAAGGCATTATGTGCATGAAAAAAGTGGGTGGGGACAAGCTTTTCCTCAGAGGAGATTTTGGGGCAAGGGGAAAAGACTTTCCTATGTTTTTCATTCCCTAAGCTAATAGATGTTTACAAGTTTTAAGGCTCATGTTTCTCACCTGACAGTGGCAGGAAATGATGCAGTTTCCTGCAACTTTGATCCAAAATATATTCAAGAGGCTGCCTGCAGTTGCCCATCTCTGTTCTGGAATGAAACGTAGGGAGGTCTCAAGGCCCCGAGAAATTTAGGGCTGTGAAAAGCTTATAAGCCACATGATTCTCAGTAAATTTCAGGGGAGGCCCCCGCTATGTGTGAATTGTCACAAATGAGCACTAAATACAAATTCTGAACATACACATTTTGGTAAATGGCTGGAAGAGCTCTTGTTCAGAATGTTTGAAAAAGAACCTCATCCACAAGGATTTTTCAAATGGAGATCAGCAAGGTATTAATGCTTACTTCTTGTATGGTTTAGTGTAGGGGTTGGCAACCCGCAGCTCTGGAGCCGCATGTGGCTCTTTCATCCCTCTGCTGCAGCTCCCTGTCGCTAGTCAGTAAAAGGAAAAAGAATGCCGTGCTAGAAGGAGACTGTATTGGGGAGGGGGAACCGGACTTCTGGTCGGCTCCAGAATTGAATGGGGTGGGGGCTTCTGGTTAGGACCTTTGTGGCTCTTTGAGTGTTTAAGGTTGCTGACCCCTGGTTTAATAGGTGAGCAAATATGTTTGATTTCCCAGTGTAGATAATCCTCAATTTACAACTGTAATTAAACCAGGAATGGCAGTTGTTGTGGTCGTTACGCAAGTCACCATGTAACCAGGTTTTATAACTTTTTTTGTGGCAACCGTTAAGCATATGCTGCGGTTGTTACCATGACTCCATTTTACCCAATGGGCTTTTTTGGGGGAGGGGGGACGGAAATCAGAAGTAAATGCTGTTAAACTAGCAAAAAAAAAACACATTTGAAAATCATGGTCACACAATTGCGGGGTGTTGCAAACAGCTGTAAAGGCAAACCAGTTGCCAAGAGTCCAAAATGTGATCACGTGACCGCAAGGTGGTTTGCGTGCCACCATCGTAGCTCTGAAATCAGGTAGCTTTTGAGGAAGTCATGGTTGACTGAGGAATTCTGGGAGTTGAAGTCCCCCCATCTACAAGGGGCCAAGGTTGAGAAACACAGCTTTAAACTCTGATTAGAGAGAATTTTCAATGGGTATTTTGAAAGCATTTCTTTTCTTTCCTGTCAAGTTTTTTATTTTATATTTCTTATATACATATCAGTGTGTGAACAGTGTGGTATCTGGGTACCATACATTTAGTACAGATAAATGTCATGTTGTTACTCATTACAATTTCATTTTCATCATTTCATGTTATTTAAACATATCTAACACTACCGCCATTCAATTTCTAGACCTCCCTCTTATTACATTTATCTTGTTACATTAAAGTATGTATATTGTTGTTCCCCTCTTATTTCTGTTTCTGTTCTTTCTTATTTTTCCCATTGGTTCATTTAAGCATAAATAACATTTTTTTTCACCATTATTTATTCTCTCGTCTTATATTTAATATTTTAAAAATTACTCATTTTTCCACCATGCTTTCAATATCCAAGACTACTAATCAATCCAAATATTAACAGTATTCAACCAATCCTGGGTATACATCTCCAACTCCCCACAATTTCTAACCCTTAAAAGTTTGAAAGCATTTTATTTCAATGGGTCTCTACAGAGTTGGAGGGAGGCATGTGATTTTCTCTGTCCTTGAGCTCGCTCTGTGCTTGGGCAGCCAGTGTTCTGAACCCACTTTGTGTATTTTCAAGGCCTGGAAAACCTGAACAAAGCCTGAAGTTTGTCTGTGACAGCCTACTTAGTTTATTATTAATTGAGTAGTACTGTGTCTATCTCTTTTCAGGGTTTATTTATTTAAAGGAAGCATGTCCTGCACTTCAGCCAGATAAGTAAAGATAAATAAAGAGACACAGTTCCTGCCATTAGACTAACTATTTAAAAAGGCATGACATAAAAGGGAGACAAGGGGAGCGTGGTGGTGGTGGTGGAAGTATTTGCTTTCCCTGATTTATTGCTAAGAGCCATTTTCCTCTAAAAGACTTGGAAAAGCCTAAAGATGGTGTCACCTTACACATGCCCTCGGTTTGGGTCTGGATAAATCAGACCCTGACTTCAGCAGGTGCCTTAGAGCTCCGAGGTTGGCATTTTAGACTAGCGGATCTGGACTGTAGGCCTTTGCTTGGCCACTAGAGGGCAGCAGCAAAGGTATAGAAACTCAATCTCTGTTCCCACCTATTGGTCATCTGGGTATCTGCAGCCTGGATCCAACAGCCTTGGAAGGTGGCTGTGAGGTGCCCTTTAGGGCTCAAAACTTGTTTTTTTGTGTGTGTGTGTTTCAGTCACTGGCCTCCAGTGTGGAATCGGACATAGGCTCAGACTGCGATGGCAGCAATCAGAATGCACAGCAGAAGCAAAAGCGTGCCCGGTGAGTATCAGTGGAGCATTAATTGCTGGATTTCAAGCTATAAATCTCAAAATAGCCTTTAAAACTATGCCTTCTTCCTGGGCATGTTGAGTAACTCTCTCCCTCCCCCTCCCCCCCCCCCCCCCTCCCTCCCTCTCCCTCTCTCTCCCTCTCTCTCCTTCTCTCTGTCTCTGTGTCTCTCTCCCCTCAGATGTACCCCTTCAAGTTTATCATTTCTCATAACTACCTGGGGAAAAAACCTTCAATTTTCTTGGCAAAATTACTTTGCCCTAGGGCTGACAGAGAGGGACTGGCCCAAGGTCACCCAGCTGGCTTGGGGCCAAAGGCAGGTCTAGAACTCCCAGTCTCCTAGTCCCTAGCCTGCTGAATATCTGTAGATAACCTCTACACCAGTGCTGGCAATTTTTTTTACTACCGGTTCTGTGGGCATGGCTTGCTGGGCGTGGCAGGGGAAAGATACTGTAAAATCGCCAGTCAGAGGTGATATTTGCCGGTTCTCCGAACTACTCAAAATTTCTGCTACTGGTTCTCCAGAACTGGTCAGAACCTGCTGAATACCACCTCTGCCCCACACCTCTTATCTCTGAGCCTGCAAGTTGTACATTTTGTGTCTGTAAAACAGAAATCATCAGTTCCGGCCAGGCTATACCCAACTGTAAACCTGGGTGGGGGAAAAAACCCACCTTCTCGACTCCAACCAGGTTATGCCAGAAATACCCATTAATGTGGTTGAAGGGAACTATGGTCCAAACAACCTGGATTTCACCAGTCTAGGAAAGGCTGATCTAGATAAAGTAGTTTGAATGTTCTTTTTGGGGGAGAAAAGATAATGTAAATATATCTCATTTCTTACTGCTGTAAATGGCCTCAGTGCAGATTTTCCTTTAGCTTGATAAATGAATGTTTATCTCTCATCTCCTAACAGCTCTGGAATATCTAATGTTAATCCTCCTGATATAGAAGATATCTCGGATGATTCATTTCACCATACACTACTTTATTTGAGATTGCGACAGTCTCAGTCCACCATAGGACCACCATTTCCCATTGCTAAGAAAAGCCTAATGCCTCCCAGTTCTGCTTTTTTAAAAATAGAAAATTATGCATGCGTATATCTGTATATACCTACAGACAATGCATCTACAGCTCTGGGTGTGGGAGAAAAAGTTCTTAATCTTTCACTGCTGCCAATGTGTTAAAAGAACATATAATATAATTATAACATATAATATACTTCCATAACGTGGAAGTATATTAAATGTGTGTGTTTGGGCTTTTCCAATCTGACCTGTGATCCTGGATATTGAAGTATACATATGTTAAGTTGCTTTAGAAAAACAAAACCATATGGATACATAACAGAAGCTCTGTACTTGCCCTTGAGTGCTCCAGGAGTAGATAAATGATATATAAATCAAACATTCAAACAAATAAATGTATTTTGGGTTATCATCGTAGTGGCTTCTAACAAAGAGGAAGTAGATAAATTACTAAGTCAATAATTGCTAAGGTAATAAAATCTTACAGATATGAAATGCCATTCTCGTCATCTAATCTTCTTCCAATCCTTGTTACACCTCACAGGCCTGTGGGGAAAAACTAAAGGTTGATCCACAAATGTGTAACTCTTTTTTAATGGCTATGGAGGGTCGGATATTGACCAAATGGCCTCTTGAAAAACCACAAGGATGGAAATTTGAATTCATCTCACAAGGATGGAATCTTCTAGGCCAGAGGTTGGGAACTATGACTTGTGGACTTCAACAATTGTGGACTTCAACTCTCAGAGCTTGGCTGGCTCAAGAATTCTGGGAGTTGAAGTCCACAAGTCATAAAAGGCAGCAGTGGTGGGATTCAAATAATTTAACAACCGGTTCTCTGCCCTAATGATTTCTTCCAAGAATCAGTTCACCAAACTGCTCAGAAACTTAACAACCGATTCTCCCACCACTGGGCCAAGTTTCCCCATCCCTGGGAATGGTTGTCCCAAAGGCGCTTTTCAAAAGGCAGCTGGACTTTCTTGGGTTTTCCCCCCTTGAAAATGGTTTCGCTTCTCATCCAAGAAGTGAAGAAGCTTCTTGGATGAGAAGCAAAACATTTGCAAGGTGGGGGAAAAAATGCAAGAAAGTCCAGTTGCCTTTTGAAAAGCGCCTTTGGGTCTCTTTGAATGGGGCTTGGTGCTGGGGATAGATTGGGGCAGCAGCAAAACCCAACTTTGGAGGCCCTTTTTCCAAGCTGGTCATGTCTTCATACTCATCTCCCCGGCTTCCCCTATCGCTTACCTTTCATGCCTGAATTAGTGCGTAGTTTGACTTGTCTCCCTGATTCCCCATGTTTCATTTCTGTTTCTTAGAAAGAAGAACAAAAAAAACTTCCTAAGGCTGTGGAACTCAGGAAATCAGGACCTCCTGTCGCTAAGGTAACCTCACTTTAAACCAGATTTTCCAACTGGGAATGGGAACCAAGAGATCGTGGTTGGGAACAAGCCCGCAATAAAGATATAAAGACATATAAAGTCTTTATATCCTTGTCAGAAACTTTTCATGTTTCTGAAAGGGCTGGCATTAGTGCCAAGAGACTGTATAATAGTTATGCAGGTGTCCTCGAATTATGACCACAATGGGGGCCCAACATTTCTGTTGCTAAGCGAGACCGCTGTTAAGTGAGATTTGTGCCATTTTACAGCCTTTCTTGCCACAGAGGTTAAGCGAATCGCTGCAGTTAAGTTGGTAACAAGGTTGTGGAGTGAATCTGGCCTCCCCATGGACTTTGCTTGTCAGAAGGTCACAAAAGTTGACCCCGGGACACGACAACCATCATAACTGTGAGGCAATTGTCAAGCATCCAAATTTCGCTCCTTTGACCATGGGAATGCTTGCAAATGGTTGCTAAGTATGAAAAACAGTTGTAAGCCAATCTTTTCTGTGCTGTTGTAACTTTGAACGGTCATTAAACAAATCGTTGTAAGTCGAGAACTACCTTTAGCCACTGTCTTTGTGACCCCAGACCAATTGCTTTCTAGAAACATTAGACTAGGTGTCCTCAATCCCCGGTTCATGGACCGACACGGGGCCAGAAAAAAGACCGAGCAAATAAGCCAAGCCCCATCTGTGGGTTGAAGGCTGCACACGAAACGACCACCCCCTCCGGTCTGTGGAAAAACCTCTCTCCATGGAATCAGTCCCTGGTGCCCCAGAGGTTGTGGGCCGCAGCAATAGACCACTGCTGACCACTATGTCAACTCTGAAGCGAACCTGGATGAAGCCATCTTGTGCTGCCTCATAACTGCCACAAAGCCTGAGCAATCATCCGTTTTATATTAACATGGAGGCTGCATCATCAGCTTCGCCATTCTGAATAGAATAGAATAACAGAGGTGGAAGGGACCTTGGAGGTCTTCTAGTCCAACCCCCCTGCCAAGGCAGGAAGCCCTACACCACTTCAGGCAAATGGTTATCCTACATCTTTTTAAAAACTTCCAGTGTTGGATCATTCACAACTTCTGCAGGGCAAGTTGTTCCACTGATTAATTGCTCTAACTGTCAGGAAATTTCTCCTTGGGTTGCTTCTCTCCTTGATCAGTTTCCACCCGTTCCTTCTTGTCCTGCCCTCAGGTGCTTTGGAGAATAGCTTGACTTCCTCTTCTTTGTGGCTTGAGAGGGGGAAGGGAGGGGGGAAGTAGATAGCCCAGCTGCAGTCAAAGCGAAAAAGTTTTCCTGTGGGAACCAAGGTCATCGTAACAGGTGGCTGTTGAAAAAGGAGAGAGGAGCCTGCCTTCCATCTTCATTGGACAATGTGACCGGTGACACTTGGGAAGGGGGAGTTTTAATTAGGTGAAAACCGTGGGAACTGTCAGAGTTGGCTTTCACAGGTGGGCCAATATGATGCATCCAATAAATATTTCCTTTGAGGAATCTACCTGCCTCAGAGTTACGTTTTCAATGGGTGCATTACTCGGACTGCCGACACGCTACTCAGATAATTTCCACTACTGCACTTTTCAAAACCAACATTATTTTGCAAATCATTGACTGAAATTCACTAAATTAAATCTCCCATCATCCTGTCAGGCAGGGCTCATTTGGCCTAGGTCCCATTTCCTCCCAAGGAAGAGATGGCTCCTTCATCTGCATACTGAACCAGGCAATGACTACGTTCTCACAATGTGCAGAACTCCACCATTCGCACCATATGGTACATTGAACTAAGGAGGAGGGGCTGCCTGTATACAACTCACTCATAAACAAATGAGCCAAGATTTGAAACTTTGCAAACTTGTATAAATGCAGTCACTAGGTCATTAACTAGCTTAGTTAAATGTATTTTGGAAATACACTCCAGTCTATTGATATGATACCAAACCAAATGTTTTTTGGGGTTTGTTTGTTTTTAGAGGAATTTCATTTTTAGAGTGAAAGAAGCTGTACCTCCATCTATCTCCCTTTATTTATATCCAGGAAGAGGAGAGGCTAGGAGAAATGGCTTTTTGTCCAGATTTTTTGCAGAGTGTTGTTGAAAGGAAGCCAAGAGCTCATAGAGCCTCAAGGCAGCAAGATGATGAACAGATAGATGGAGAGAAAGAGAGTGCCCTTAGAAAGCTAGATAGGTTATGAGCTGGCAACATTATGATTCTAATGGGCCAACATTTACTGTAATTTTATTACCTGGTTTGAATGTCCGGTATGTTGAAAGAACCTTTTAAAGGCTACAGATGGTTTCCTGAATGCATCTCATTTTAGAGGAGAGAGTCTGAGATAAGTACTGTCTCTCTCAGCCTTCTCCACTTTAGTAGCATCCAGATTCTGGGACTAAAACTCCCCATCATCCACAGCCACGGGTGAGCAGGTGGAAGATGATTATGACATCGAACATGCAAACAAGCTAAATACACTACTAACATGGGCAGCATCCTGCCCACATGCTTTTATCTTTCTTGGTGACTTCAATCTACCTCATATTGACTGGACCCTAAACGAATGTACAACTGAACCCACACATGCAACCTTCTACAATGCTGTAACAAACCTGGGACTAGAACAACTAGTAACCAACGACACTAGACTTACCAACTGCCCCGATCTCATCTTCTGCAATAGTTTGAATTCAATTTACGGAATACAAATTAAAGAACCCCTTTCCAACAGTGACCACAACATGACTGACTTTTGTCTCAACATACGTCCACACAAAAATCATCACAACGACAGAATCACCAATTATAACTTCAAAAAAGGCAACTATGATCTTATAAACAACGATCTCTCACCCCTTGATTGCCAATTTCTATTCACTGGATGCAATACTGTAGAAGACCATTACAACATATTTTTACTTGAAGTCAAAAGAGTCATCAAATTATATGTACAATTAACAACTCCCAAAACCAGGAAAAAAAAAACAAATTACCCATAACAATAAGGAAACTTCAATCCAAAAAGAAATCACTTTGGCAGAAAAATAAATCTGGTCACGTTGCCAACTTCAAAAGCCAATACAAAAATTTGTGCCACCAGGTAAAAAACTGAATGCACCGATTATCACATTAAACAAGAAGAAAACCTTCTACGCACCAATTCCACCCGTGCTTTCTACCATTTTGTAAACAACAAACTAAAAGACTCAAGGTCCATCCCACCCCTGATAGGACCTAATGGTACAGACTGCAACGACGACACTATTAAAGCCAACCTCTTTAACACATTCTTTGGCTCAGTATTTGTAAACAGCAATGGATCATGCCCAGTATTTCCCAGTTGAACCACAGCCAACTACAATGATCTAATACATATCGATTTTACAGAAGACAATGTTGAAAAAGCACTACGCAATCTAAAGCCATCTCTATCTATTGGACCAGACGGAATATGTGCCTACTTCTTAAAAAAGCTATCCACTGCCATAGCCAAACCTCTAAACATAATCTTTGAAAAATCTTTCAGGACCAGCTCCTTGCCAAAACTATGGTCACAAGCCACGGTCATCGCCATCTTCAAAAAGGGAGACCCCAGCCTAGTTGAAAATTACAGACCAATCTCTTTATGCTGCGTCACCTGTAAAGTCATGGAATCAATTATTAACCAATCCATTATCCTCCACTTAGAAACAAACAACCTACTCTCTAATAAACAATTTGGTTTCAGGAAAAAACTATCATGTAATCTGCAACTCTTACACTGCAAAAACATATGGACTACACAACTCAATCAGGGCAAAGCAATAGATGCAATCTACATAGACTTCTGTAAAGCCTTTGATTCAGTGGTACACGACAAACTACTCCTAAAACTAAAATCTTATGGTGTCTCTGGACACCTGCATAACTGGATAGAAGCATTCCTGTCAAACAGACAACAAATTGTCAAAATTGAGAGCATCCTATCAAATCCTGTATCTGTCAACAGTCGTGTCCCCCCAGGCAGTGTTCTAGGACCAACTCTCTTCATACTCTACATAAATGACAGGTAGTCGACAATGCATGACCTCCATCTCACCCAAAATATATGTTGCTGAGAGAGACATTTGTCAAGTGCCCCATTTACAACCTTTCTTGCCACCGTTGTTAAGTAAATCATTGCAGTTGCTCAGTTAGTAATGTGGTTGTTAAGTGAATCTGGTTTCCCCAGGGAGTTTGCTTGTCAAAAGGGGATCTCCATGATCCCGGGGCACTGCAACCATCATAAATACGAGTCGGTAGCTACGCATCTGAATTTTGATCATATGACCACGGGGATGCTGTGACGGTCGTAAGGGTGAAAAATGGTCGTCATAAGTCACTTTCTTTTGGTGAAGTTGTAACTTTGAATGGTCACTAAATTAACTGTTGTATATTGGGGACTACCTGTAATAGGATAAATCTTAATCACATTCTTTGGGCAAAGATCTCTCATCTGTCACCTCTGCTTTACAGTCACTCATGTTTGTTCTCTTTTCAGGCCAACTCCTGAGGAAGCCCAAGAATGGTCAGAATCTTTGGAAAAACTGCTACTACACCCATGTAAGTTTACACAAGTGCTTCACCGACTTTTTTTTTTAATGTTTATTTATTCAAAGTTTCAAAAAATTTAAAAAAGAGAAACAAGTTCTCACATTTTACAGCAATGTCATAGCAGTGTACATATCCTTTAGTAACAATGGAGTTTATTTACCATAAGTGTGTCTGTAACTAATTTACTAATTCCTTACTTGTTATATTACTATTAAAATACAAGACTTATCTATCTACATTACTTTACATATTTGCCGACATTTTAAAGGGATTGTTTGACACACAATTTTTATAGATTTCCGGGTGTCTTTTTCACAGACTAGTGTTTCAAAAATTAGAGGGTTAGTCATCCGGAGAAGCTTTGTTGATTCCAGATTGGTTTCTTGGCACCAACGCAGCCCGCTTCATAATAATAATAATAATAATAATAATAATAATAATAATAATAATAATAA